GCTGCGGTTAGGGTTTAGGGTTTAGGGTGTAGGGTTTAGGGTTTGGGGTTTGGGGTTTAGGGTTTAGGGTTTAGGGTCTAGGGTTTAGGGTTTAGGGTTTAGGGTTTCAGGTCGACTTCCGTCCCTGCCTTGCCAGCTGCACGCGACGGAGCTCCTGCCGGGCTCGGAGGTCAAAGAACTCAGACTGGGGACTTCAGGGTTTAGGGTTTAGGGTTTAGGGTGTAGGGTTTAGGGTTTAGGGTTTAGGGTTTAGGGTTTAGGGTTTAGGGTTTAGGGTTTAGGGTTTAGGGTTTAGGGTTTAGGGTTTAGGGTTTCAGGGAGATCGCGGGGGAGTCCGATTCTTTGGTTCCGATGTTGGGCTTCTACTTGTAGCTTGCGGTACACAACGCCCATGGTCCGGTCATGTTCGTCGCCTTCTGCAACAAGCACGGGGAGACCAAGCCTACGTGCCAAGAACATAAGAATAGTAGTAACAAGAAAGCGGTACCAATATTTCTGATTACGATAGAAAGACAGAATGATAAGGACGAGAGGAAGGAGTGAGAACTATACGAATGCAAACTGATACCGATTGTACATATAAAAAGAGTAGTAATAACAATTATTATTATATTAAGAATAATTTGGTATAGTATGTACGAAATGGCCTGGCTTCCTGGGCCCCTCAGCCCACACAACTCAAAAGAGGCTTTTGGGTTTAGGTTTTAGGGTTTAGGGTGACCACTGGGTGTGCCCAAACCCGAAACCCCCTCCTCGCCAGCTCTTCAGCAGGAGTTCGGGAACTAGGTACAAGGCCCTCTATCCCCTAAACCCTAAACCCTAAACCTTAAACCCCTGACCCCAGCTCCTCCTCATTTGACCAGGCGCTGGCAGGCTTTGGGCCCAGCAGGACACGGAGACCGCTGAGCTCGATGGTCACCTCGCCAATGAAGAACCGCAGTGTTAAGGTCTTGGGGCTTAGGGCTGAAAGCTTAGGGTTTAGTTTAGGGCTTCAGGTTTAGGGTTTAGGGTTTTGGGTTTAGGGTTTAGGGTTAGCGTTTTGGGGTTTAGGGGTTTGGGATTTGGGGGAGGGCTTAAAGTTGCATGGCTTCCAGGCTCAAGGGCTTAACCTTGCGCACTCTTCCAGCAGGTTTCAATTTCACCCCGAGCACACGACTTGGCGATATCTAGGGCCCAACTAGCAGGGTTAGGGTTCTCACGCGGTAAAACTACAACTACCCTGCTTTCGTACCCCTGCTCAAAACTCCGTATGACTCACAAATGACCCATGAGCCTCCCAAGACGGTAACGACTTGAGCAAGGGAGCGAGCGAAAGGAAGAAGCAAACGGCCCCAAGTGCTCAGGTCTTTGTCATTTTTTGGGCCGTGGTTCTGCTAGGGTTTGGGGTTTGGGGTTTAGGGTTTAGGTTTAGGGTTTAGGGTTTAGGGTTCGGGGTTCAGGGTTCAGGGTTTAGGGTTTAGGGTTTAGGGTTCAGGGTTTGGGGTTTAGGGTGTAGGGTATAGGGTTGCAGACGGTGCTGAAAAGCGTTGAAAGCTCCAGCGCCGGCCCTGGAGACCATGTAGGGGTCGACGTACAGCTCAGGACTGGGGGGCTCAGGGGTTTTGGGATTTTGGGGTTTATTTTGGGGTTTAGGGTTTAGGGTTTAGGGTTTAGGGTTTAGGGTTTAGGGTTTAGGGTTTAGGGTTCAGGGTTTAGGGTTTAGGGTTCTGGGAATCCCCCCAACAGAGATAGTTTGAAGCCTGTAAACCTCTCGAGCCGTGCAGCCCCCCCACACCCCCCAAATTGTGCCGAGGCAGGCACCGGCCGGGAACCCAGCCGATTCCAGGGCACGTTGATGAGGCAGGAATCCACCTGCTTAAAACCTTCAACCTCAAACCCTAAACCCTAAACTCTAAACTCTAAACCCTAAACCCGAAACCCGAAACCGAGACCCGAAACCCGAAACCCTAAACCCTAAAATCCGTGATCAGGGAACCATACTGAGGGTGAACAACAGGGTGGCCCTTGGGTTCAGCACTGAGGCTTCCAAGGCTGCTATTATGATTACTGTGATTATGGGATGTTTTTGGCATGACTGTCTTTATTGTTGTTAGAATTCTTCTTATTGTTCATACGTTTGATGATGACTTTTGTGATTCTGTTTTGGCTACGACTGCGATTGTTATTGTCATTGTGATTGTCCTTTTGGTACTCTTGCTAGTATTGAGTCTTCAGATTCTGAGTGATATATTGTCATCATTCTTGTTGCTAGTATGGTCTTATTCTTCAGCTTCTTTACCATTGTGACTCCGAACTCTTGCGACTATTCCTCTTCTACTCGTCTTGCTACTCGCATGGTAACGTCCCTCTTGGGGTCCGAGTAGTATAAGGAGGCCCCTCTTAGGGTTTAGGGTTTAGGGTTTAGGGTTTAGGGTTTAGGGTTTAGGGTTTAGGGTTTAGGGTTTAGGGTTCGGGGACCACAGTCTGGAGAACCGACCACATGATCAGGGGAATTGTGGGAGCTCCCGGCCCGGATATCCTCCGAGCGGAATTGAGGCTCTGGAATTGTCATCGTCTTATGGCTTTGGGGATAGGTTTATAGGGAGTTTGGGGCGAGTTGAGAGTTTAGGTTTTGCTGTTTAGGCTTTTGGGGTCTAGGGTTGAGGGCTTGTCGGGCTAGCTTTGAGGTTGGGATACCAGAAACACACACAACCCTCAACACACCCCCCCCCCGGCCCCGAGCCCAAAGAAGAAACTTAAAAAGGGCGGAGCAGCTTAGCAGAAGCTGCACACAAAGAGGCTCAGTGGCATGAGCCGCTGTTGAGCCACAGACTTAACGGCGGCTGTCGCGCGCGCGCGCAGATAGATTCGAACCTGGTGGCCTTAGAGCTCTCGGCTCCGCGCCACGGGCGGCGTGGGTGCCAATCTTTTAACCCTAAACCCTAAACCATAAACCCTAAACCCTAAACCCTAAATCCTGAACCCCCAGATCCGCCCCAAGCAAGGCCTCACCAAAGAAGAGCTGGAAGGGCAAGTTAAGGAGCTCCTGAAAACTTTCCAAGGGTTTAGGGTTTAGGGTTTCGGGTTTCGGGTTTAGGGGTTTAGGGTTTAGGGTTTAGGGTTCAGGGTTCAGGGTTCAGGGTTTAGGGTTTAGGGTTTAGGGTTTAGGGTTTAGGGTTTAGGGTCCCTTACCTCCTTCAAAGGGTTCTGAAGTAGGGGGCCTTAGATTGTACAGGGTAAACAAAGGGTATATAAAGGGTCCCCTTTCAAGGGCCCATGCTAAGGGACCACTTAGCTACCCAAAGAAACAGCTTCTAGAGGGGGGAGGGGAGTTTAGGGTTTGTTTAGGTTAGGGTTTAGGGTTTAGGGGTTTGGGGTTTAGGGTGTTTAGGGGTTTAGGGTTGTAGGGTTTAGGGTTTAGGACCGCAAAAAGGGTCTAACCACAAGTCGTTTCAATCGGGGCCCCCAGCCTTAGCACTTACACCTACACCTCTGTTCGGGGTGCGGGGTTCAGGGCTTAGGTGGGGGGGGGTTGGGTCTTAGACCCTGAACCCAAAAATTGCGAGGGGAGGAGGAGCGGGGGGGAGGTTGCACAGGCCAAGGGTTCAGAAACTTGGGTCATAAGTCTTTTGACTCCACGTCCCGGCCACAAGCTGATCCCTTGAAGCCTTCGAACCTTGAAGACATTGGGCACCGAGGGAATGCCACAAATTTTGGGGTTCAGGGTTTCGGGAGGGTTTGGCGTTAAGGGGTGTGGGGTTTCGGGCTGAGGGTTTCGGGGTACTTAGAAGTAGGGATATATAAGTGGGGGCTTTCCGGATGTTGGGCTTCTGGGAGGTCAGGACCCGATGACATGAAAACCCAGACCCCTGGGAGGATCCAAGAAGCAGAACCCCCAAATGTGGGAGCACTACTACCCCTTACACCCTCGGTCCTAAACCCCAAACCCTAAACCCTAAACCCCAAACCCGAAACCCCAAACCCTGAACCCTAAACTCCGAAACACTTCTTTTCAGATGCCTCCCAGAGGGGTCCAGGAAGGGACCACTGGCAGCCAAGAGACCACGACTTCCTGTTTCAGCCGCGCACTGCGTAGATGGATTTCCTGGGTTTCAAGAGCAAAGGAAGGGGGTTCTACCCTGGACCCTAAACCCCTAAACCCCTAAACCCCTAAACCCCAAAACCCCTAAACCCTTAACCCCTAAACCCTAAACCCTAAACCCCCTAAACCCCTAAACCCTAAACTACGAAGTTTCCGGTGTTCGGGCCTCGGACCTCAGGAGAGAGATGTTGTTAAGTCGTGGGGTTCAGGGGGGCTTAAAACCCCCAAACCCTAAACCCTAAACCCTAAACCCCAAACCCCAAACCCCAAACCCCAAACCCTAAACCCTGAACTCCGAAACCCACACATCGAACTGGCGGGTGTAGGGCACCAAGTAGCGAGGGTTTAGCACAGGGTTTAGGGTTGAGGGTTTAGGGTTTGAGGTGGCGTGTTGTTGTTGAAGCGTTGAGGAGTAGGGGGTCGAGGGTTGCAAGAATGAGGGTTTAGGGTTCATGGTTCAGGGTTCAGGGTTTAGGGTTTAGGGCTTAGGGTTTAGGGTTCAGGATTTATGAAAATGCACACATGGGTTGAGGGAGTGGAAATGTCGAAACGACCCCCCTAAACACTAAAACCCTGAAGCCTAAACCACCCTAAACTACCCTAAACCCCAAACCCTAAACCCTAAACCCTAAACCCACACCGGGCTTCTCCCGAACCCCCGGAACAAGTTGCCACATGCAGAACCTCACCGTCCGCCCCTCTCCGCACTTACGCAAGCTCTTTCCCACCAGATCCACGGCTGCTTCCTCACTACTATTTGCTTGAGAACCCTCCCCCAAAGAAATTTAACATATTCTTCCTTATGAGGGAGTTTTTTAGGGATTACATGTATGATTCGTACTTTTTGCGATATAATTTTTGGGGGGGTTCTGGAGCAAATCATAGCTCAGAGGCAGACGACGGAGAGCTGTACTCTTCATCAATCTTCCTGGTCACCTGCGGTCAGAAGCAGGACCACAACCTCGGTTTCTCCCTCCCGGGTTGCCACCGAAAGCGGCGACTCCCCGCGATGGTTCACCCGGTCGTGCTTAGCGCCCGCCGCCAGCAGCAAGCGCACGGCCTCCACGTGGCCCATGCAGGACGCCGCCCACAGCGGCGTGGCCCCATCGTGGTCGGTTTGGTCCTTATTGGCCTTTGCATCCAGCAGGCAGTCAGCAATCTGCACGTAGTTCTTGGCGGATGCTGCCCAGAGTGGGGAAACGCCAAGCGCGTCGACTTGGTTCACGTCTGCACCGGCTTGCAAGATGCTGCAGACGGCTTCTGTGCTCCCTTCACGGGTCGCGACAAGAAGCGCTGAGGACGTGTCTGCCCTGGCCTGCAAGAGCAGGCGAACCACAGGAACCTCCCCGGATCGGGAGCACGCCAGAAGAAGAGGGGTCTGGTTTCCCTCATCAGGCTGATCTACGTCGGCCCTGGCCTCCAGCAGCAAGCGTGCGACCTCAACGCGGCCATACATGGCTGCAGCATGAAGAGGCGCCTGAGCACTCGTCCGCCAACCCTCCACGTGCGCATCAGCCAACAAGTTGGGATCCTGAGGACGTTGCAGTATCTCCTCCACCTGTGACACACGATCATGTGTAGCAGCGTCAACCAGCTGAGCCACCTGCTTCGAAGATGCCGGGCTGAAAGGTAGCAGCACAAGCTCCACACGAAACGGCGCCTCAAACAACATGCTGTCCTCCAGAACTTTGCCATTGTGTATCAGACACTGCCTGAATCGTGGGACACCACAGAGCCCTTGCAACTGTACCTTCAAGGCTCGAACATTACCGAGACCCTCCACGGGTATGGCCATAACCTCCTGACCTGATACTGCCGCGAAGATGCGGAGCATGTTGTCGAAGCAGTCCATTCTCCAGCCAGCGGCGCTACTGCACCAACCAGGAACCTAAATCCCCAAGGCCTCCAAGCTTTGGCCACACATTGCAGGAGTTCTGGAAAGATCCAACTTGCTGGCATAACCGAGAAAAAAAGCAAGGTCAAATTGGATTTTAGGGCGTAGGGTTTAGGGTTTAGGGTAGTCCGAGCAACCTCGTCCCATTACATCCAGAAGAATTGCAGCCCACCCCCCAACGAAAGGAGTCCAAGTGGCACCACGCCAAGTTGTGACCGAAAGGTTCTGCTTGTCCTTGGTTGAGCGTCAGGGCTTGCTTATTAGGGTTTTGGGTTTAGGGTTTGGGGTTTAGGTTTTAGGGTATAGGGTTCAGGATTTAGGGTTTACGGTTTAGGGTTCAGGACGTCATTCTAAGGTTTCAAGGGCGGTGGTTAATTGTGGTGGCGGGTGACAACCACGTTCTTCAAAGAGAGCACCATGGGGTCAGGCTACATCCGTAAGTCTTAAGAAGGGCACCTAGAGTTACAAATTTCCACCGAGCGCAGGGGACAAGACCCTACAACACGTGACACAAAATCTCGACCTTCCCAGACTCCTGAAGGCCCTATCGTCGGCCGCATGCACGAAGAAGGTTAGAACCCTGGAGTTCAGGGCTCAGGGCGCACAAGAAGCCCAAGACACCCTTCAAACGAACCAACCAAAACCTTAAGCATGTCATAGCCAAGGGACCCCCCCCAGTTTCTTCCATACTACAGGACACTAGTCCCTCATTAGACGGTTTTGGGCTAAGCCCGAAAACCCTATCCTGAGACCCTAAAGCCTAAAGCCTAAAACCCTCAAACCTGAAAACCCTAAAACCCTCAAACCTGAAAAGGCCTAAAACCCTGAAAACCCGAAAAACCCTAAAAACCCTAAAACTCAAAACCAAAAAACAACCAAAACTCTAAAAACCCCAAACCCCCAAAAACCTTCAAGCCGAAAACCCTAAAACCCTAAACCCCAAAAACCACCCAAAAGCTCTAAAAACCCTAAACCTCTAAAACCCTAAAACCCTAAAGTGCCAAAACCCAAAAGCCCTCAAACCCTCAACCCTAAAACCCAAGCAGCAAAGCCCTTAACCCTAAAACCCAAACCGTAAACCCCTTAACCCTAAAACCTGAAAACCTAAACCCTAAAACCCTAAAACCCTAAAACCCTGAAACCCTAGAACCCTGAAACCCTAAAACCCTAAAACCCTAACACCCTAAAACCCTAAAACCCGAAAACCCACAAAAAAACCTAAACACTTAAACTCCAAAAGACTAAGACCTACATACCCTCAACCCTAAGCATTTCGAAAGCCGCAACCGCAACATGCATCCCATAGGCCACGCCGAAGATGTAGTCCCCCAGGTAGCGGAGGAGGTACTGCTCCACAAAGCCCTCCAGCCTTGCTGGGTTTCGTTTTAAGGATTCGGGGGTGGGTTTTAGGGCTTGAGTGGGGGTATCGGGTTTAGGGTTTAGGGCTTAGGGTTTAGGGTTTAGGGTTTAGAGTCTAGGGTGTAGAGTTTAGGACTTGAGCGCCCGAAAAGCCAACAGACCCAAAGATGTCCCCCCTAAGCCCTGAGCCCTGAGCTTGGGATGTTCCCCCTTATACTAACAGCCCTTAATGGGGATGATAGTACCCCGATGATCATCAGGGAGAACATCCCAACCCCAAGCCCATGAACCTCGATACTCCAAATCACAGGGTTTAGGGTTTAGGGTTTTAGCGTTTAAGGTTTAGGGTTTAGGGTTTGGAGTTTAGGGTTTAGGGTTTGGGGTTTGGGGTTTACGGTTTAGGGTTACGTAGGGCTTTGGGGTTCCCTAAGCTCTGGAGCGCTCTTCCTTCAAGGCCTCTCCCCACCTCCGATATGCCACAGGGAACACGTTTGGAGCACACCAGGCCCACCACGAACCAAGCTTCAAAACATGCCCCAGGACATCAGGGTTCAGGGTTTAGGGTTTAGGGTTTAGGATTTAGGGCTTAGGGTTTAGGGTTTAGGGTTTAGGCTTTTGGCTTTAGGGTTTAGGCTTTAGGCTTTAGGGTTTAGGGTTTAGGGTTTAGGGTTTAGAGTTTAGGGTTTAGGGTCCCTAAGAAAGACTTGATCAGGGCTCGACTGCAATTTACGGTATCCCGTGTGCTAGGGCCCCGGCATCCAAGCTGACTAGACCTCGGCGCCAAGGAGGGTTTAGGGTGTAGGGTGTAGGGTTTAGGGTTTAGGGTTTAGGGTTTCGGGTTTAGGGTTTAGGGTTTAGGGTTTAGGATTTAAGGTTTAGGGCTTGAAATCGCTACGAGGGAATATCAAGGAATTCAAGAGGCTCTGCAAAGGGCCACTTGAAACCTACTTGGAGGTTCATGGGTTCCTTGCTCTGAGTAGGGTCACTACGCCTGCTCTAACCGCCAACAAAGCAAGACCCAAGACCCCACCCGAACACGCCTTAAAGCGTCAGGGCATTGATTCAGGGCTCACGCCTGTGCGCGAAGCCAAGAACTTCAGCCCTGAACCTGAAGCCCTGTGGGTGCGGTGTGCACTGTGCGGGAGCTCATGTGTTTGCTCAATGCACTTTCAAAACCGTACGGCCACCGAAGAATCCGAATCAAGGTTTGGGTTTCAGGGCTCAGAGTTGAGGATTGAGGGTTGGTTTAGGGTTTGGGGTTTCGGTTTTAGGGTCTAGGATTTAGGGTTGAGGGTTGAGGCTTGAGGGTTGAGGGCTGAGGGTTGGGGGTTGAGGGTTTGCGAATTCATCTTGAAGGTTCGTAGTGGCCCCCCCCTGAACTCGGAGGCAGAAGCCATAAGACTGGTAGGAAAATGGAGTGCCAGATAAAGGTCTGAAGGTTTAAGGCCTAGGTTTTAGGTTAAGGGTTTAGGGTTTTAGGATATTTATTGTTTAAGGTTCAGGGTTTAGGCTTGATGAGGGCTTAGGGTTTAGGGTTTAAGGCTGAGGGTTGCGGATGAGGCCAGGGCCTGCACTGGCATTACTCCCTTGCGCACGCCATTCGTTTCGGCTTGGATGGCTGGTGGCAGTGTCCTGGCCGGACAAGTAATCCCTTCCCCCCGCAATATGAAACCCCCTTTCTTGATCCCCCTAAAATTAAATACTCCAGTATATGGGTATGTGGGGGGGCATTTAATATTATATATGGGGCAGGGGGGGTTTAGTATTTAGAACATGCTTTGGGACGATCCTGTTTGTAGTAACCATGAGCACAAACACACATGAGCCCAAAAAAATCAAAAGAGGCTCTCTTGGCGCATCTCCGTAAGCATAATAATGCCTTCCTACTTTTGAGGGCAGCGCCACCCCTGAAATTTGGCTTCTGGATACTATTTTTTCGCCAACTGATTTTCTGCGCAGGTTTTGTGCTATTGTTGTGGTCATGATTGGTACACCAACGTCGTGCTAGTTTTTGTGTTTTGTAGCTGCTTGATTTGCTGTTTGTGCTCCGATTTTGCGCTGTTGATGCTGCAAGTTGCTGTGCTCTCTTGATGTGGTCGTGATCTGCAATACTGTATGATATTGCAAGATTGCATTGAATACTATGCATTAGTCTGGGAATGCTATTTATATACAGACCGGCTACGGGTTGCAAAACTTGGGTGACGAGACTCACGCTTTGAGGGTTTAGGGTTTCCGAACATGCTTCCTTCCAATGGCCAACGTTGGGGTCCTGTCTGCTATCTGCCCACCAGGCGCTCCATGGCCCAAGCAGATTTTTTTGGGTTTAGCACGTGAAGCTTCGGGTTTGGGGTTTAGGGTGTGGCAGGTCAGTGACTTGATCAAAGCACCACTGGCTCACTAAAACCGCAATGAGATGAGCCTACTGAAGTTCGATGCAAAACACAACATTTGCCGACCCCGAACCTTTAACTAAGTTTTGGGGGGCGTCTTGCTGCGATCCCTGGCAGCGGAAGAAGTGTATGCACTTGCCGCCCCATCTTACCCACAAGACGGTGCATGGTACTGATGATCTTTGCCCACTGCATGATGTCAAGTACCATCATCTCGCCTTCATGGACAAGTTGCAGTTGCGACCAATGTTAGTGCGAAGCAAAACGCAACGACTTAGAAACATAAGGGTGTAGAATTCTTGAAGGGGGCTTGCAACCCATCTCAAGGCCCAAGCCCTTCTTGAAATTGAACTTGAAATGTTTGTCTCTTTAAAAATATTGAAACTGAAACTTCCTTGGGAATTTATGATAAATCCAAACCCCCCAAGTTCTGCGAAATTGGCGACAGATTCTTGTCTGAGCACATGTTCAAGTTTGTTCAATTTTCGAAAAGCTTGATGCACACGGTGCAACACCAGTCACAACAGATATCTCAAACGATATCTCGTCACAACAGATATCTCAAACGATGTCTCGTAGAAGACCTTGTGAAAGACAAGGTGCAGGGACGAAGTGGCGCAGCCATCGTAGAGCTGCCTAAGCTGCCAACCATCGACGCAGGTCAAATGAACTTGGGTCGTCGATGGGAAATCGAGGGCTGGTCGGAGGTTGTGGAGTCGTTTGCACCCTGGATTGCGCTTACAGAGAATTATAGTCTGAATGACAGCAAGTGTTCTGACGTAGTCCAAAAGTGGCGGGGTGGGGGG